GACCAAGTTACTTGTAATATATCTTTAAATTCTTGACGTTCTATGGTCTTGGAAGTGGTCTTCCTGATACATCCCTTAAACTGTATGCACCTCCTTGAAGCTGTCATATGACGTCGAAGGGCCCCTTCCCAAACTGGCCCTAGCTTGCCCGGAGCATGACCTACTGCTTCAGCGCTTCTTAACATAAGGTCTCCGGCCTTGAATCTCCATGTCCTCACTTTTTTATTGAAATCCTTTGCTATTTTATCTTGGTAAGAGACCATTCTTAAAGTTGGCTGATCGCGAACTTCTTCCAAGAGGTCGAGGTGTTCAATGGTGCGCTCTGCATCTTCGGGCTTAAGTCTTCTTTGACTGGGCAACCTGACTTCAACAGAGATGGTGGCTTCAATATCGAAAGCCAACATGAAAGGGGGGTTTCCCCCATAGCAGTCTTGTGGGACGTTCTATATGTCCAAAGTATGGAAGGTAACTCGTCAGACCAGGAACCTCTTACATCTCCGATCCTTGTACGGAGCTCTTGTAATATAATTTGATTGGTCACTTCGGCAAGACCATTACTTTGAGGATGGAAAACCGATGTCAAATGGTGATCAACCCCTAAGTTGGAACAGAAGTTTTTAAATTGTGCATTATCAAACTGCCTGCCATTATCAGTTATGAGGACTTTCGGTATCTATGATGGACTCCAAATGAAACTTCTCAACTTAGGCTCTGAAATTGTTGCTAAAGCCTTGGCCTCTACCCACTTAGTGAAATACTCTACAGCCACAGCCACAAACTTCAATTGCCCCCTAGTTATTGGAAAGGGACCAAGGATGTCAATTCCCCACTGCTCATACGGGGTTGTGCAACTAATGCTAGTGAGGTCCTCTGTGGGAGGGTGGATGACATTGCCAAATCTTTGGCACTTGTCACACTTCTTGACATATTCCTAGGCGTCTTTCTTCATGGTTGGCCAATAATATTCATACCTTATGAGCTTGAAGGCTAATGCCTGAGCTCCTTGATGGTTCCCACATATTCCTTCATGAATTTCTTCTAGGGCTTGGGATGATTCGGAAGGCCTAAGGCATCTGAGGTATGGAAGTGTGAGGCTCCTACGAAATAAAACTCCTTCAATCATGCAATACCTTGGAGCTTTAGACTGGATGCTTCTTACTGCTTAAGGATCCATCCACGATGGCTCGTTATCAATATCCATGGCGCCTATGGTCTGATTGATGCTTGGCTCGATTACAATTCTAACGTGGATTGTCCTGTCAAGCCCATCTATCCCCATGAACACCAATCTTGACAAGGCATCGGCTTTACAATTTTCAGCCCGAGTAATTTTCACAATTTCACAACTCTTGAACTTTCTCTGTAGATCATGCACTTTCAAGCAGTATAGGCTCATCTTCTTGTCCTTCCTATCGAACGTCCCTTCAGTTTGTCCAACCACCAACTGGGAATCACTGTAAATTTTGATGTTTTCAAGCTTGAGATTGATGGCAAGTTCCATGGCTACGATGACAGCCTCATATTCTGCTTCATTATTGGTTGCTTCAAATTCGAACCGGAGTGCACATTGAATGTCAATGAGCGTGTCCGGGCTTATGATTATGACCCCTGCACCTAAGCCCAAGGAGTTTGATGCACGAATAAAATGATAGAATTGTAACTTAATTTCGTTACATTTGTGAATTGTAGGTAACACCGATGGACATGGTGAAATACATGAGAAAAGACGCGAAAAAGGACTAAAATGACACAAAGTGAAAATTCAAGGACCAAGGTGCAATTACCCAAAAGTTGACCCGATGAACAAATCAAGAAATTGAGCTTTCCAAATACAAATTGATGACATTTTTGGATGATGGAATGTGAAGAATGAAGAAAAGATGCAAAGAAGTGGTAGATTCAAGTAAAAGGACCAATTTGCAGGAAATGAAAGTTTAATTCTACCATGCGATCGCATGGTAGAAATGTCGTGCGGCCACATGAAGTGATGCAGGGAATTCAATTGGAAATCGAGAATAACCATGCGGCCACACGGATTAAAACCATGCGGTCGAATGGTACGTTTCCGGCGCGAATTTTTTCTTTCCTTATACGATTGAAACACCTATGTTAACCTAATGTTCCATGGGATATAAATATAAAAAACGTTCCAGAGACGCCCAGAATGTAATTGGAGGCCGAAAAACACTTCTTGGAGAGGATTTGAGTGCAAGAACAAAGATTGACACGAAGAATTTCAAGATTTATTCAAGATTTCATAACCCGGTGATGTCTTTTATACAAAATATGATATATTTTGTTATTTTAATCATGCTAGGCTAAATTTTTATCATGCTAGGCTAAATTTTTATTATGCTAGGAGATCGATGAACCATGTGATTTGAATTTTAATTATTCTAGTTTTGCAATTTGATGTTAATACACAATTTTTATTATTTTGAATGATTTATATGCAATTAATGTTTCTGCAGTTAAGGGCTCGTAATTGTGTGAATTTAAGTGATTTATTCTTGCATTCGAAAGAATTTTAATAGATTTGACATAATATAAATCATCGTAGGGTCCGATAGTGGATAAAAATATACCGCTATGCCCTACGTGAATCTTTAAATGTTCATGAAACTGCATGCAGTTTTACATATGCTCTTGTCATAGAAATATAGACCGGTGATATGTAGAAATAGGTTTTATACATCTCGAGAGAGAGTATTGGATAGATTTAGGAACATTGATTCGTCAAAATTGAAATGTGTTGTCATATTGTGACACTAGGGTTTAAAGTGATAATTGCATGGGAATTCGTGATCCTAACGTATTTCACTCCTAATAATTATAACAAGTGCGTTCTCAACTTTTAAAATTCATTCTAGAGTTTTAAATTACTGTTTTGTATATTAATTTCAATTTAATCATAAAAAATTTGCATAATTGAGGTTCAATTAGGTCTACATTCACTTTGGTAATTTAGTGTTGGTTAAGGCTATGGTAAGTAAAATTTGAACTAATCAATCTCTGTGGGATGATATTCGGACTCATTGAATCCACTTTATTACTTGTTAACGAACCGTACACTTGCGATAGTTTAAAATCGAAAGAAATAATTTCGTGAACAAGTTTTTGGCGCCGTTGTCGGAGATTGAGTTTAGTTTAATTTTATTTCTCGAGGCACTAATTCGAACTCAATTTTTATTTTGCTAGCATAATTTTGTTTTTATTTTTATTTTTATTTTAGGTTATTATCCTTTAATTGTGTTTTAGTTATTTAAATTTTTTGAATCTCAGTGCTCGTACTGGTTTTAATTCTTAGATTTGCATGTCACGATTGCCTGGAGGAGAATTGATTCCAGTTGATCCTGAAATTGGGCGCACCTTTCATTGACGACAATGAGATCACCGCGAAGCACAAGTACAAATGGCCAACGTATTAAACAATCCTATTATTCAAGCTAACGAAGGAGAGGCAATGGATGAAGGAAATGAAATTATGGGGGACTTTTTGACTCCTCAAATTATTCAAAGCCAATCCAACATTGTATATCCACCGTTTGGATAGCCCAATTTTCAATTGAAGACTAATGTAATACAGCTGTTTCAAAATGGATACCAATTCTATGGCAAAGCCGAGGAGAATCCACACACACACGTATCTCGATTTCTAGCTATGTGTGAACATTCCAGATACCAAGGGATTTCGGATGACGCTATTAGGTTAAGGCTTTTTCCACATACGTTACGAGACAGAGCACTTGAATGGTTGGAGTCACTCTCGGTTGCAAATATCACTACATGGAATGAGCTGGCACACAAATTCTGCACAAAGTTTTTCTCCCCAGCCAAGATAGCGAAGCTGAGACATGACATATCAGTATTCAATCAAGGAGAAAATAAATCATTTGACGAAGCCTGGAACAGATTCAAAAACATGGTCCGGAAGTGCCCTCAGCATGGGTTCGATAAAAAGACTCAAATTCGATTCTTCTACACAGGATTACTTCCCTACCATAAGAGCATGGTGGATTCAGCATCAGATGACTCAATATCCACACGAACAGTTGATGGGGCATTGGAATTATTTGAGCGAATGGCTACCACATCAGCTATGTGGTCTTCTGAGAGGGCGATCCCAAAGAAAACTCCAAGTGTCTACTAGGTGGACGCTTATTCAGCAATATCTGTAAAAATTGACTCTCTGTATCACAAGGTGGAAAACATATCACAAGCATTACAAGTAAGAAGAGCAATTGTGAAGAATGTGGAGCCGAGCACAAAACATCAGATTGCCCAATACTCATGCAAGGAATTGAGCAAGCAGATTATGCACAGTTGGGACAACGCCAGCAACACAATCAATATAGAAAGACTTTCAATCCCAGCTGGAAGAAGCATCCCAACTTCTCTTGGAGCAACCAGAATCAGAATAAACCACATGGGCAATTTCAACAACAAGAGAAGAGGCCTCAATTGGAAGATATGATAGGAAAATTCATGGAGAAGGCCGAAACTACACTTCAAAATCAAAATGCAGCCATCAAAAATTTAGAAACTCAGATGGGGCAGCTAGCCATCGCATTGACAGATAGAATGCCAGGTAACTTACCAAGTAATACAGAAATCAATCCTAAAAGCAAGCCAAGGCCATTACAACTCGAAGTGGAGTGTAATTACCTGAAATCCATGTCAAGAGACCAGGTGTGATTGGAGAAACATCTTTCCCCGCTGAAGAAGAGACTGTTTTAAAGGAATCAAGTTCAAAGGAAAATTCAGAAGAGTCACAGGATAAGTCCAAAGTCACAGTCAACCCCTACGAGCCTCCGATTCACTTTCCACAGTGCTTGAAGAAGTAAAAAGTGGAGCAACAATACAAAAAAATTCTAGAAGTCTTCAAAAAGCTCCATATCAACATCCCACTAACTGATGCACTGTTTCAGATGCCTAGCTACGTGAAATTTCTGAAGGATATCATATCAAATAAACGCAAGCTGGAAGACCATGAGACAGTTATGCTTACGGAGGAATGTAGTGCCAGAATCCAGAATAAGCTCCCACCAAAACTAAAAGATCCAAGGAGTTTTACCGTTCATTGCAAAATCGGTAAAGTATATTTCGATAAAGCATTATGTGACCTCGGTGCAAGTATTAATTTAATGCCTCTGTTTGTTTTCAGGAAACTCGGTTGGGAGAAGCTAAAGTAACCACTGTGACACTTCAGCTGGCTGACAGGTCACTGATACATCCCAAAGGAATAATTGAATATGTGCTTATCAAGGTTGAGAAGTTCATATTCCCAGCGAATTTTCTTATCCTGGACATGGAAGAAGACAAGGACGTCCCATTGATACTTGGCAGACCATTTCTGGCAACAGAGAGAGCGTTAATTGATGTTCAAAGGGGTCGGTTGATTTTAAGATTGAGAGAGGAGTATATATCGTTCAATGTATTCACGGCAATGAAACTATCAGCAGAGTCTGACAGCTGTTATCAAATTGACATTATTAACAAGACAGTACAAGAAACATTCCTACTACACGGTCCATCTGATGCCTATGAGGCATGTATTGCACAATCCTAATCAGTTCAGTCAGAGTTTATTAAAGTTGAAACATGTGCAAGATTTTTGGAGACCAACCTGGCATACACCCGAAAGAGGCACTTCGAGGGACTGGGGACGGGAAATACAAAGCCACTGCCTTCCATTCAGCAGCCACCAGTTTTGGAACTCAAGTAACTATCGCCACATCTCAGATATGCATATTTGGGAGAGTCAGATACACTTCCAGTGATCATTTCGAATACAGTCAGTGAGGTGGAGGAAGAAAAATTGCTCAGGGTACTCAGAGAGAACAAGACGGCAATTGGGTGGACAATAGCTGACATTAAAGGAATCAGCCCTTCTCTGTGCATGCATAAAGTTCTAATAGAGGAAAACTGCAAGCCAAGTATAGAGGGTCAGAGAAGATTAAATCTGAACATGAAGGAAGTGGTCAGGGCAGAGATACTGAAATTACTAGATGCAGGAATATCTACCCAATTTCAGATAGTGCATGGATTAGCCCAGTTTAAGTGGTACCGAAAAAGGAGGAATCACATTGGTGAAAAATGAGAAGAATGAATTAATTCCCACCAGAACAGTTACAGGATGGAGAGTTTGCATCGACTATCGCAAACTCAATGCAGCCACACGAAAGGATCATTTCCCTCTCCCATTCATTGATCAGATGTTGGAAAGATTGGCTGGACATTCACACTATTGTTTCTTTGATGGATACTCGGGCTATAATCAGATACCTGTCGCACCAGAAGATCAGAAGAAGACCACTTTCACCTGTCCCTATGTTACTTTTACCTATCGTAGAATGCCCTTTGGTCTTTGCAACGCTCCAGCCACATTTCAGAGATGTATGATGGCGATATTCTCCAATATGATTGAAAGGTTTATTGAAGTTTTTATGGACGACTTCTCAGTGTTCGGATCTTCATTCGATGAATGCCTAGAACACCTGAATTTGGTCTTACAGAGATGCAAGGAGACTAACCTAGTTTTAAATTGGGAGAAATGCCACTTTATGGTGCAAGAAGGTATTGTACTCAGGCATCGAATCTCAGCAAAAGGAATTGAGGTGGACAAGGCAGAAATTCAAGTTATTGAGAAGTTACCACCACCTAAATCAGTTAAAGGAGTTCGTAGTTTATTGGGGCATGCGGGATTCTACAGGAGATTTATAAAAGATTTCTCGAAGGTGATGCGGACATCACTTATATTATTATCGCACTATTTTACTTTTCTAGTTATTGGGCTTGTATTATTGGTTTGGCCCAAGCCCAACACTGGTAGGGTTATGCTTTTACTATTTATATGATTTTCAGTTGTAATTTCAGGAGACGATGATGAATGAATAATTATTTTGGTGGCTTATGGTGCATCCCTTCCCTTTTTCTATCATCTTCTGTTAAATTCTTCTTCTTCCCCCCTTTAATTCCCCATTCTTCTCTTTAATTCCCTCTCCCTATAGATCTTTTCTATTTCTCAATTAATTGTCCCGTTGGTGCTGCATCAAATTTGATATCAGAGCTAAATCTTGGATATTTTTCTCTTACTATTCAAAATTTTCTTCTTTCCCTTTTCCCAAAACTTGTTGAACGGCAGAAATGAAAATGATTTATTGGAAGATAGCAGTTTTCTTTCCTAGTTAAAAAAAAAAAAAAGTTACTGTTCATTGAGGGTACTGTTACGCCCAGAATTTCAGTTTTGCATTTTGTGAATTTAAAAAAAAAAAAAAAGGTACTGTTTCCGGGTACTGTTCACCCGCGGGAAAAAAGAAAAGAAAAGTGACAAAAAAAAGTGAAATTTTTTTTTCTCTAACATTGTTTTGCAGATACCTCTTTCTGTTCTGTTGATCAATCAATTCGCTTCGATGAAAAAAAAAGGAGTTACTATTCTATTTATCTTTGGTACATTACTGTTTATCTTAGAAATTGCATCAATTAAATTTTTGTGCTGTTGCTGATCTAGTTGTTTATCTAAACTCACGTAATTGGACCCATTCACTTCGTTAAGTTCCACTTTTACCTCACTTATTTCACGTTATTAGAGTTTGACTAGTATTTGACCCTTGCTTTGCTATTTTACTTATACCAACAGTATTAGCTTGTTTTGGATTTTAATCCCAAACTTTAAATTAAAAAAAAAAGAAAAGAAATAGCTCAAGTTTTCATTTTCCATTATTTGCACTTTTTGTTCATTGATCTCTCTATTGCATGTCATTAAGTTGCTATTACAGTGCATGTAGTTACATATTGGTCATCTTGTCACTTCTAGCTCCAGTACCTTAAACATGGACCCCTCATAATTCGATGCACTCACCCGACAAATAGCGGCTATTCAAACTCAAATGACCGCTACTCTTGAAGAGAGTAAGGCCCTATCTGTTAGTTTGAAAAATTTTAAACACAACCCTTATTCAATTGATGTTGATAATTCTAAGGTGTCCCATAATAGACAACATCATCGACAAGGTAATCAAAAATACTTTCTACCCGATCGTAAGGATAGGGATAGGAATAGGGATCAGATTCGTGAGCGAGAACGAGATAATTTTGAAATTCTTACTCAATGGAATGCCCTTAAACAAGGAAATCAATTAGTGACTGAGTATATCGCGCAATTTGAGGAATTTTGAACCAAATGTCATTTAATTGAGGATGAGAGCACGATTTTGAGTAGGTTTAGCCAACGTGTGAGAGATGATCTTAAGCGCGAGCTTTTCCTTCAAGGTGTCACTACTCTTGATCATGCTTACTCTTTAGCTCGAGATTATGAGTTGATTATTAGTACTCCATATGAAAAGCGTGGTCATCATCGTTCACCCATCTCATTAGCGTCATCTCATCATAAGTCTATCATAAAACCTTCTCCGTCTAATGTTCCTCCTATTTGGAAAAATAATTGTAAAGGTCGTGATAGTCCAAGATCTTCTTCTCCATGTAGAAAGCATATTGACAATCATCCTTCGGTGTTATCGACTCCACTTCCTCCCGTTAAGTCCCTTCTAGGACCTCTCCCGTTTGATGTTCCTCCAATTTTGAAAAATAAGGGTAAAATTTTTGATAATCATCATTTGGCTTCATTGGCTCCACCTCCTCTCGTTAAGTCCCTTCTAGGACCTCCCCCTTCTAATGGTTCTCCAATCTTGAAAATCAGGGTAGAATTTCTGAAACTCCAAGGTATTCTTCTCACTTGTTGTGCATCAACTGTAAAAACTTTGGTCACATATCTTCTAAATGTCCTAATCGAACCTTAGTCATGGAAGAACGAAAGAATGTAATAATGGAGCCATTAGAAGATCGAGTCTATGAACCTAAACTTGAAAATTTTGATGACTTGGATGATAGTGAGGACACTTCCTTAGGTAGAATCCAGACTCTTCTTGAGACTTTGGATACTATACCCCTTATCTCCGACAATTCTCGATCACATGTTATATGTCATACCCTTACCCAAGTTAAAGAACTTGATGATGTCACCAGTCACCCTTGGAAAATCCAGTCGCCTGTGGTTAAAACTAAGGCAAAATTATCCACCACTGACCAACTTCAAATTGATGGTCAAAACAAAAGTGCTAACCAAAATCCTGACAATTTATTACAGTCTCTAGTCCAGAAAAATCTTGGGAATTGGGACTTGATCCCTCCAACTATTCAAATTGCATATAATGATCCTGTGAACTGGTCTTTAGGTCTAAAATCCTTTGAAGTTATTCTTGGTTGTGAACCTTTGAAACCTCTAGACCTTATTCCCATGCACCCACATGCTTGTGTGTCTATGTCAGTTGAGGTAGTTGTATCACATTCTCATAGCTTGCATATTGAGATCAATAAAAAATTTGAAGCAAGTAAAGCATTATATAAACCTCAAGTTGATTGGCATAAACAATACTTTGAATTTAATATTGGGGATTATGTTATATTGCAAGCGTGTAATGCTGGTCTTTTTAAACTTTCAAAGTACGTTGGTCAAAATGCCTATGTCAATGATCTTTTATCACATTATGACCATCACCCTATTTTATTTGTTAAGGACTTCGATACTTACAATGGCTATTTTAACACTTTTGTTGATCTTTTTCTATCTCTACCTGAGAACTCCCACACTGAATCTTTTGCTATGTCTATTCGAATACCACCTGTAGCAGCACACAAAGATAAAATTGATGTAATTTTAGATGAACAAGTTGTGTTAACCATTGATGTAGAGACTCGGTGCTTTTTTCATTGTTGGGTAAATCTACGTTCTTATTGTGCTCCACATTATGCAATCTTGTGAAGATTTTGGAGATGAGTTGTAGGAGTACTTATTATTTGGAGTCCAATGTCGGTACTTGATTAAAATGAGGGATCGTCCGCCTTGGTCGAATCATATTCTTGAGGACAAGTTGTCATTTGCATTGTTATCAACCGTAGAGTTCAGATATTTGGTTCTTCAAAAAGATCATCCACTGTGGTATGAGTTCAGACATTGAAGATTGAGGGTAGCTCTTTGTCATTTGTTCACTCGACAGAGTCGAGTTTTTCTTCCAACCCGGGAGAATTGATTCGGACATCACTTATATTATTATCGCACTATTTTACTTTTCTAGTTATTGGGCTTGTATTATTGGTTTGGCCCAAGCCCATCACTGATAGGGTTATGCTTTTACTATTTATATGATTTTCAGTTGTAATTTCAGGAGACGATGATGAATGAATAATTATTTTGGTGGCTTATGGTGCATCCCTCCCCTTTTTCTATCATCTTCTGTTAAATTCTTCTTTTTCCCCCCTTTAATTCCCCATTCTTCTCTTTAATTTCCTCTCCCTATGGATCTATTCTATTTCTCAATTAATTGTCCCGTTGGTGCTACATCAGAAGGTCACTAAACCGTTATGCAATCTGCTAATGAAAGACATAACCTTTGAGTTTAATGAAGAATGCCATAACACTTTAAAGGAGAAGCTTAGGACAGCACCAGTAATTATGGCATTAGACTGGGAACTCCCTTTTGAGTTGATTTGTGATGCAAGTGATCACGCCGT